ACTTTTAAGCATTTTGTCATGTTACAACCAAAAATGTAAATATATTTTATTGGGATTTTATGTGATAGACAACACAAAGTGGCACATAATTGTGAAGTGGAATGAAAATGATAAATGGTTTTCAAATTTATTTAAAAAAAAAAATATCTGGAAAGTGTGGCGTGCATTTGTATTCAGCCCCCTTTACTCTGATCTCCCTAACTAAAATCTAGTGGAACCAATTGCCTTCAGCAGTCACCTAATTAGTAAATGGAGTCCACCTGTGTGTAATTTAATCTCAGTATAAATACAGCTGTTCTGTGAAGCCCTCAGAGGTTACATTAGTAAATAAACAGCAATATGAAGGGCAAGGAACACACCAGACAGGTCAGGGATAAAGTTGTTTAAGTTTAAAGCAAGGTTAGGTTATAAAGAAAAATATCCCAAGCTTTGAACATCTCAGAGCACTGTTCAATCCATCATCTGAACATGGAAAGAGTATGGCATAACTGCAAACCTACCAAGACATGGCCATCCACTTAAACTGACAGGCCGGGCAAGGAGAACATTAATTAGACAAGCAGCCAAAAGGTCCATGGTAGCTCTGGAGGAGCTGCAGAGATCCACAGCTCAGGTGGGAGAATCTGTCCACAGGACAACTATTAGTGGGGGACACAGCAAATATGGAAGAAGGTGCTCTGGTCAGATGAGACCAAAACTGATCTTTTTAGAGTAAAATGCAAAACGCTATGCGTGGTGGAAAAATAACACTGCACATCACCCTGAACACACCATCCCTACTGTGAAACATGGGGGTGGTAGCATTGTGTTGTTGGAATATTTTTCTTCAGCAGGGACAGGGAAGCTAGTCATAGTTGATGGTTGATAGATGAGCCAAATATAGGGAAATCTTAGAATAAAACCAGTTAGAGTCTGCAAAAGACATGAGACTAGGGCAGAGGTTCACTTTACAGCAGAACAACAGCCCCCTTTTACATCAGTGTCCTTAGCACCCCTTCCACATGATAGCCCCCATTACATCAGTGACCTCAGCCCTCCTTCACATCACAAACTCCTCTTAACAACACAGTCTCACCCCACCCGTACATCAAACACCCACCCCCTTCACATCACAGTCCTACCCCCCTTCACAGTAGTCCCATATTGTCCTCAGTTCCCCTTCACATCACATTGCCCCTAGCAGTCACAGCCCCCATCACAATCCCCCTTTCCTCCTCTACATCACAATCCCTTTTTTACTGGCAGCCTTCCCTGCACAGTTTTACCTTGACAGGGCAAAGGCACTTATTAGCTTAGTGTCCTCTAGTGGGTCTCCTGCCCAGTTGTCGCTGTAAGCCTCTCAGTTAGGCAGCGGGCAGGAGGTGCTGCGAATATGAGCAGAGGGCAGGAGCTTCCCAACATATTATGTTACCAAGCACTCTCTGTGTACATCTACAGAATCTCCGGTCTGTGCCCTGCTGTGAGTCTGACAGCGGTGGCTGGGTGGCAGTCCCACAAGAGGAAACCAGCTAATAAGTGGCATGGCCACGGTTCAGACAGGTCTGTTAGTCGGTATGTATGTATGAAAAACTTAATTGGTGGAAAATATACTAGGTAGACTGGAAAATTGCAAAGATCACCATTTTTCCATCTCACAGTGGGTGTCTGTCCACTGTTTTTTTACAGGTCTTTAAATAAAAGCTTGTCTCTAGGTCATTTACATATGCATGTCCTTACCCTTTGCAAAAGGACTGCTGAATAAAAAAGGAGAATCTCCAGGGCTATGGACGCTAAAGATTCAGTCTTTATTTTCTCCCATGGCTTTCCTGAATACACTTACTTCTGTTGTATAAGCATTTGGCCAACAAAAACTTGTATAAAGGAAAAATTATGGGTAATTTGGCAAAAGGTGCATCAACTTCTTCTCACCTCTTTGGCCATTTTTTGCACATTGATGTAAGGTGACGTAAGGCTTGGATGCAGCTGCTTGGCCATGGAAACCCATTCCATGAAGCTCTCTATGCATTGTTGTTGTGCTAATCTGAAGGCCACACAAAGTTTGGAGGTCTGTAGCTACTGACTCTGCAGACAGTTGGCAACTTCTGCACACTGTGTGCTTCAGCATGCGCTGACCCCGCTCTGTCATTTTATGTGGCCTACCACTTTGTAGCTGAGTTGCTGTTTTTTTCCCAGTTGCTTCCATTTTGTTATAATATGGATTATTTAGTAGTTTTGTTATAATATGGAATATTTAGTAGCAAGGAAATTTCACGTTGGATGGACTTATTGCACAGGTGGCAACCTATCACGGTACCACACTTGAATTCACTGAGCTCCTGAGAGCGACCCATTCTTTCACAAATGTTTGTAGAAGCAGCCTGCATGCCTAGGTGCTTGATTTTATACACCTGTGGCCATGGAAGTGATTGAAACACCTGAATACCATGATCTGGAGGGGTGTCCCAATACTTTTGGCAATATAGTGTAAACCTTCCATGGATTTGGATATGTTTTTTATCACAATTTTAAAAATCCGGCCCATTGTCTTTTATGAGGTATCTGTGAATAGGAGACAAGTTGACCCATGGGATTAATTAGGACAAAAGCATAACACCAAGGATAAATATTCCAAGCAGCTTGTTTTTATGAAATATAATTCACAGTAAATCCACAGTAAGAGTTCTAGATTTGCAACAGCTGTTGTCCCTGATTGGCGAGAGGTGGGAAATTTGAATAGGCACACTTTCTGTAGTGTTGTACACAGTGATTGTCATATACCATTGCATTGTTTATAGGGGGTGTCAGATGCAATCCTATTGACCTAGATCTGCATTTTCACAGTAGCGCCCTATAAATTCTACATGCCTTTTGTTTTTTGGGGGTTTTTTTTGTTTCTTCTAGTTCTTTCTGTGGTTTCCAGTCATGTGATGTCACAATTCCTCTTTCTCCACAGTTTGCAGTTTCTGAATGTTGCAGACATCACTTAATGCAATTTGTTGATAACCCCAAAAGCAGTCATATCAGACAGTCAATAAAGTACTTGCAGGCAGGTGCAAATTGACCTCCATCCAGTAGGTGGAATGTGCCACTGTACAGTTGGAGAGGAGTCCTAAGAGGAGAATTGCTCTTTTAGAGAAGGCCAATAATTGGATACTGCAAATTCTGGTGACCTCTGACAGCCACCTTGATGTAGGACTGTATAATTAGAGTGACTGTGCCACGAGAGTGCACCTGAAGTACTTGGTAGGTGAGGGAAAGAGACTTTGTTTATCAGGAAGAGTAACAGCGTAGAGAGAGGTTCCTGATCAAGTAGGGTCAGTGCAGAGTAGAGACTGGAAGGCTTGAGGAAAAAAATGGGAAAATTGGGAAAAACATTATTTTCGTGTTTTTTCTAAGCTTTTTTATTTTTCTGGAAAAATTAAAAAAAAGAAGTGTGAAATATGTTCTTTTACAATAATAAATAATATATCTATGACATTGCATTCAAAATATACAACATGAAGACCTTAAAGTGGTAGCAAACTCCCATTGGACACTTACAATAAAGCTTACCTGTAGGTACAAGGAGTATCTCTTAAATGTGCTCTCTTTAGGAGATGTTCTGTGTCTCTGCAGCCGGTGACGTCATCGGCACATGCTGTCTGAATGAACGGCATACTTATGCCATTCCTGCAGAGCTCTGTGCCCCAACCGAGATGTGCACTCCGTGTGCACTTGCGAGAGTGATGTCATCATGGCTCGGCCATTCAAGGAAGACCAGGGGACAACGGAAGCTCTTGAGGGTGTCATTTGAAGGTAAGTCTTTCATAATGTGCTAGTATGCAATGCATACTATCACATTTTGACTTTACCTCGCAGTGAGATTTTTTTTTTTTTTTTTTGTGAAAGTGTTGCTAAACCCACAATGGTAAAAAACAGTCTGTATATGCAGTAAAGCATGCTTGTTATACTCACTGTGGAACTTAAGGGGTTCATCCTCTGTTTTGCATAAAAAGGATGTTTGATCCTGTCTTCTGTGATCCTCCCCTTCTTCCATGTTCCCCATTTCATCTCCTGGTAGAACAGAGCCTTGGGGACACTCTGCACATGCTCTGTTTGGTGTGTACTGCTAGATAGTTTTTTTCTTTTTCTTGGGAGGGTGGATGTGATCAGTACAGGGCCAATCAGCACCGTCCAGACAGAGGTCAGGGGTTATGCAGCCTCATAGGGCAGTGAGAAGAGAAAGAAAACTCCTGCTACAAGCTTTAACCAGTGCTCAGCTGAACACTGATAGGAGTCACAAGACTACTCTAACTGCTGATGAGAAAAGGTGTTTAGCAGTTTATATTTACTACAATAATTGCTCTTCCATGTTTTGTGTATGGTGGGAGACCAGATATAGTGAATGCAGGGTCTTGGATTTAGTAACACATTTCAAGTTTACTCCCACTTTAATGAACGATTTCTGAGACATTTATGGAATGAAATGATGACCATAATGAAAGTGTGAGGAGCTTTTCCCTTCAGAGTTCTCATTCCAGAAACACTCATTCTGCTTCGTCTGGATCCTCACAAAGTGTTTCTTCACCAGCAGCATCTTCAAGTAAGGAAGCGTTACAAACCATGGCCTCCCAAAAAATACACAATCCCTTCATTTATAGATAAAATGACAGCTGAAAATCAGGAGAACGCTGATCAAGCTCTTCATAGAGCAATATATGCTTATGGATCTGCATTGTCAATAACTGAAAAGGCGTATTGGCATTTGGCATTGGAAGCTTTTAAATTATTATAAGGGAAAGGCGGAGGGGGGGGTTATCTATTCTCATGTATAGCTGAAATGTTCTTAACCACTTGCCTACCAGGCACTTATACCCTTATTTACCAGGCCAATTTTCAGCTTTCAGCGCTGCCGCACTTTGATTGACAATTGCGCGGTCATGCAACATTGTACCCATATGAAATTTTGATCAATTTTTTTCTCACAAATAGAGCTTTCTTTTGGTGGTATTTAATCACCACTGGGCACTTTACTTTTTGCGCTATAAACAAAAAAGTGCAAAAAATTTGGAAAAAAAAAAAAAAAAAGTTTCTTTGTTTCTATTATAAAATTTTTCAAACAGGTAATTTTTCTCCTTCACTGATGTGCGTTGATGAGGCAGCACTGATAGGCGGCACTGATGGGCACTGATAGGCAGCACTAAAGGGCACTGATAGGCAGTACTAATGAGGTGGCACGGATAGGTGGCACTGATAGGCAGCACTAATGAGGTGTCCCGGATAGGCGGCACTAATATGCAGCACTGATAGGCGGCACTGATAGGTGACACTGATGATGGGTACTGATAGATGGCACTGACTGGCATCACTGCTGGGCACTGACTGGCGGCACTGACTGGCACAACTGCTGGGCACTGACTGGTGGCACTGACTGGCACAACCGCTGGGCACTGACTGGTGGCACTGACTGGCAGCACTGCTGGGCTGCACTGGTGGGTGGCACTGGTGGGCAGCACTGGTGGGTGGGCACAGGTGGGTGGCACTGGTGGGCACAGGTGGGTGGGCACAGGTGGGTGGCACTGCTGGGCACAGGTAGGTGGCACTTCTGGGCACAGGTGTGTGACACTGCAGAGTGGCACAGGTGGGTGCACTGCTGGGCACAGGTGGGTGATCTGCTGGGCACAGGTGGGTGGAGCTAGTGGGCGCACTGCTGGGCACAGGTGGGCGAAACTTGTGGGTGCAACTGCTGGGCACCGATCATCAGGGCACTGATCATCAGTGCCCTGATGATTGGTGCCGATCCTCGCTCTGACAACTGCTGGTTCTCGGCAGTACTTTCCTCACGATCTGACAGCGTGAGGAAAGTGCAGCCGAGAACCGGCAATTGCATTTCCCTGTGATCAGCGTGTCATTGGACACGGCTGATCATGTGGTAAAGGGCCGCTGTGATTGGTCTTTTACCACATCACGTGATCAGCTGTGTCCGTAGAACACAGCGATCACGGAGATCGCCGGGTGCACGCCCCCTGGGGCGCGCAGGAGAGCGCGTTCTGGGAGGACGTCATATGACGTCCACCCAGAACTGGCCGGCCGCAGTGCAGCCGTCGTTCGGCTATCTGCGGTCAGCAACTAGTTAACATATACAGTCCTTGTTATTCCTTTTGTAAGAAAAAATATGATTTTAAAAAGCAAGTTAATTTATCTACTGAATAAGCTGTACTTTTATTTCAAACATAATATATTTCACATTCTCAGTGTGACAAAATGACTTTTGATTTGTAAAACTATTCCACACTGAATTTTTTGTTTTAATTTTTCTAAAATTTCCATTTTTTCTGGAAAAACACAAGGAAAAATGTTTTTTTTTTTCTCGTTGCTTCAAAATTTCTGGCTATTTTACATTTCTAGTGCAGGGACATCTCTTTTCACAGTGGATGTTGTGGTGTCTGAACCAGCGCAGTTGAGTACTCTTCAGCAACCTAGAGTGGTGTTGCAGTACTATGTAGTTCACCATACTTCCCAACAGAAGCCGTCCTCCGGTACAACAGGCCAGCCTGGCAATACTACTCTTCTGTAATATTGTGCCATTACTGCCTGTCATCATACTGGAAGCTGTGTGAATTACTACTACTCTGTTGCCCGGAGAACTGTCTGTAATTAACTTTGCTAATCACAATAAAATATACGAGGGGTCTTCAAATAGTTTCCAAACTTTTTAAACTCTATTTATTAAGAATTTCAAAAAACAACATGACAACTCTTGTACTAAACTTCAAGGTCAGCCGGCTTCCCAGACAGACTAGTCACATGACACTCTGACACGACCAATTACGACTCCTCCTGCCCTCACCATTTCCAACAAAAATATAAAAGTGTGGATTTTTGAAGAACCCTCGTACAAGATCAGGGGCAGACTGACAACTCATGGGGCCCCCGGGCAATAGGGGATCATGGGGCCCCTGTGTCCTTGCCCAAACTCAAAAAAGCCTATGAAAAAGGTACCAGGGGCATCTCATGGGGCCCTCTACTGACCCCGGGCCCTTGGGCAGTGCCCAAGTTTCCAAATGGTCAGTCCGCCCCTGTACAAGATATTATACAACTGCAAGGACTGTGTGCGTAATCTCCGTCAGATTGGGTACCCCAGCCCTAGACTCCGCCTACACTTGGCACCCCATATATATTGCCAGCTACAGATGAAAGCAGGTCCGGTGCAGCAGATCCTGGAGGACAAGAAGTAGAGACAGCCAAATAACGGAGCTGGAGAAATGTAATTAAGGAACATGTGCATATCAAAACTACTATCACTTGATATGCACATCCAGCGTAGAGATAACATACAAAAGTTTACTCCATACCCTCAAAAAGAAGGCAGCAATGGCACCTCCATATGATTGTAATAACAGATGCATTCTAAGCTGTCAGATGTACAGTGACATGCCTCCTCAGTCCTCAGCCATTACTGAATGTATTCTGCATTTTCTATACCTAATTATGTGTGTAATGCATGATGATTTCTTAAAGGAAATTTTTAATCAGGTGCAAAAAAATCAGTGAATGTACATAAGAGTATATGATGTTGATATGGTATTGTGTGTTTTAATGTGAGTTTAGAGGCCCCTTTATAACACCAGGCAACTTGTTTCTTTCTGCTAAGACCTGATCATGAGCATTCATTCTGTGTATTATGTGTGTGTATTATTGTGGATAGTTATTGTGTGTATTATTATTGTCTCAGGTCATTCATACTGTATATTGAGGACTATGCTTACAGCAGAACAGTACTGCTCTGACAATGCCCAGATGTCCTTATGCTACAAATACCTTTTGATGCTGCCAGCGAAGTTCACCTAGTGAAGCTTTCTGTGATAATATGGCCACTCCTAAATTCAGAGCAGAGTTACCATTGTCATGTAGGATGTGCCTTCTTGCACTACCGTGGAATGAGAAAATGTTGCAGGGGGCATTGCTCTCAACATTGTTAATTCACAAGTCAATCTGACCACCTGACCACCACACCTAGTCCTTCCCATTGCTTTCTAGCTTGACAGCAATGGTTGAAATCAACCCCCCCCCCTCTTTTACTGTGAGCTGCAGTGTCTGGGAGGGGGAGCATTTGAGATACATATGAAGCAGGATTTAGCTCAGTCAGTGAAGTTTTCATTCACACCTGAGCAGGGGCGGACTGACAACTCATCGGGTTCCCAGGCAATAGGGGATCATGGGGCCCCTGTGTCCTTGCCCAAACTCAAAAAAAGCCTATGAAAAAGGTACCAGGGGCATCTCATGGGGCCCCCTACGGACCCCGGGCCCTCGGGCAGTGCCCGAGATTCCAAATGGTCAGTCTGCCCCTGCACCTGAGAGTTTTGTAGCTCAAAGTTTCAAAACACTGGAGGAGAAAAAAGTTGCCTGAAGCCAAACACCTGAGCTCAAAAAAGTTTTGGAGCTGTCTTTATAGCTTGATTTTGTCAGATTGTTGTGTTTTTGAAGCATTTTTCCGTATAGAGATGCATTTAAATGCACAACTCGTGCAACTATGTGAGTTTATGCACATTTTCTTGCGCACTAAGGTGCATTTTTCTGCTCAAATGGTAAAAACTGCCCCAAAAGGGAATAGCAATATATTCCCAGTATATCGACAGATCTCCATTTTGTTCTGCAGCCATGGAGAACAACATGGATGAGACAGTATCTCTGATCCAGAGAATTTCATACAGCTGGTGAATAAGCATCCCTGTGTGTATGATCCCAAAGACTCGGGCTACAAGACCCGAGCAAACAAGAGAAAGGAATGGGACCGGATTGCCAGACACATTTCTATATTTTTGAAAACTTTAGTGTCATGGTGAATAATGGCAAAGGTAATCTCAATGTTTGCATCTGTGACACATCATGGTCTACCTGGTTGCAAACTGTATACTACACTGCTTTACAAATAATGGGGCCTCGGCAATAATTAGCATCAACTACTGCAAGTAAAGTATTTGCTTCTCCTGCCCACTGGTTTGATGATCAGGATGTGTTTTCATCAATAACCCCAACACAATTTGGCAAAGTTCAGCATTGCCAACACCTCTGAGATCTGTGACCATTCGTTTGTTGGAGAATTTTCATAACATCTTTCAACACATCCCAAATAGCAGAGCAGCTGTCATGGATTATGTAAATTGCTATATATTTTCCCAATCAAAAAGGCGTAGTGTAGACTAACCAGTGATTGTCTGGTTGCTAGTGTAGCGCCACCCCTGTAGGAGCCACTGGTATTTTGCACAGGCTTTCCCCTAAATCTTCACCTGCAGCAAAGCACGCAGTATTTCCTATAGCCAGGAGCACACAACTTCCATTCGTTACTCCAATGATCAGTCTAGGGATTGCAGTTTTTGTTGTGTCTGGAAGGAATCATGAGCAAAGTTCTATCGGAACTTCAGGCTCATATGTTGGCAGGTACCATCCAGTACATTGCCACATTCATTCCTCCAGCCAGCCAAAGTCCCGCATATAGAGAACCTCCATCTCCTTATTGTCCATATGCAAATTCTCCACCCCCCCCCCCACATACACTCTCTGCCAACACCAACATCCAGTTCCACAAATCCCCTCCCACTTTCCCAGCAAATCCTTCTAATTGGCCTAATTGTTTTAAACGTATTGCACCAGGAATTTCTTCTCTTAATTCCCCGAGTACTGCTATTACTATATAAAGAGGCGGTTACCAAACAAAGAGAGATTCCATTTTTGCTGAGTGCCCTCCTGCAGAGTATTGCTCCCAGACCATTTGAATATTGTTGATGAATTTTCTACAGATCATCGCTCCCAGAGCAAATAGCGCTTATGCTGGTTTATAATTTGATCAGCATATAGCTCTGGTGAGTTTATTCATTTTATTTGGTGGTGGATTCAATCACGGTGAAATTGTTGAACACGGAATTTTCACATGTTTATTTATGATTATCACAAATTTTCTTTGGACGTTATTGACACAAATAATTGGACACATTTTTTCATTTTATATTTTTTTTTTTTTATATATTTTTTGATGTGACGGACATTTTGATTTATTTTACACTGTTAGATATCATGAGTTTTTTTATAAGTGCATTCCTATGTTTATTTGAGTATTTGCATAGAAATCTTCTGAAAAGTTGAAAAATCTTTATGTGAAGTCAAAGGCATTGCTAGGTCCTGGCACTCTAGGAAGATGCCCCAGGTCTCCATTGCAGTTCATTTTGGTGTCATGCCACCAAAAACAATTCTCACAGCTTACGCCTTAAAATACCCTTGCAGTGACATGATAGGTGCTAAGAAGAATACTAGGTTCCCACAGATCCCACCATGTCCCCCCACTGGGAGAGGAACCAAGGGCTACTATACCCACACAAATATCACACAACAGTGCACAACATAAATGAATGGAAAAATTTTGAAGCCTGAGAACAGAAAAATAAAACAAATTGTCCATCATGTCTGACTTTTCTTTTTTAATGCACAACATAAGTCTTTTTTTTAATTCTAATAGGTAACTTTTTATAGCAGAAAAGTCTCATCCTATATTTTTTTTAAGCATATTGTTTCTGGTTGACTTACTACCTGCTAAAAAAAACTGTCCTATACATCTGCTAATAAGGATGTTTGGAGCACAAAGTAAACAACCCCAGTTGGGACTTGAACCCTCAATCCCCAGCTCCAAAGGCTGATGCCTTATCCATTAGGCCACTGGGCCTCTGCATGCATAAAAGCTGTGAAGCAATGAGTCACATGCCTGAGGTCCTTTATTGAGTCTCCAGCAGCAGCCCCCTAGAGACACTTGATTCCCTACTGGGGAGCAAAAACAATCTCCCCATGGTTTATCACCTCTCCAGCCACCTCCTGGACAACTCCTCTACAGGGATTTTGGCTAGGGCATGATAACTATTCTGGCTGGTAATTTTAAA